CGGCCCCTTGCCACTGCCAGGAGGACGGCGTCACGCTGTGGGCCGACTGCTCGGAGCTCGGGCTCTCCGCGGTGCCCCGGGACCTGGCCCCCCTGACGGCTTACCTGTGAGTACCGGCCTCGCGTCCCTATGGCCCCCGCGGGGGCCCGCCCGGCCGCCGTCTGGGGCACCTGCTGGGTGGGTGCCTTGCGCGTGGACATCGGGGAGGTTCTCTCCCCTTCCAGTGGACCGTCCACTGGGGACAGGAGCTGGAGAGGTCAGGCTGAATCTCAGACAGGCTGTGCTGGGGCTTCCCTTCCTGGTCCGCAGTCCCCCCTGTCCTGCGGGTTCCCTGCGGGAGCTCAGGCTTGGTAAGAGGTGGGCCTCTGGACCCCGAGCTGGAGGGACTGGGCTTAGCGACCTCTTCTCCNCGGGCTCTCCGCGGTGCCCCGGGACCTGGCCCCCCTGACGGCTTACCTGTGAGTACCGGCCTCGCGTCCCTATGGCCCCCGCGGGGGCCCGCCCGGCCGCCGTCTGGGGCACCTGCTGGGTGGGTGCCTTGCGCGTGGACATCGGGGAGGTTCTCTCCCCTTCCAGTGGACCGTCCACTGGGGACAGGAGCTGGAGAGGTCAGGCTGAATCTCAGACAGGCTGTGCTGGGGCTTCCCTTCCTGGTCCGCAGTCCCCCCTGTCCTGCGGGTTCCCTGCGGGAGCTCAGGCTTGGTAAGAGGTGGGCCTCTGGACCCTGAGCTGGAGGGACTGGGCTTAGCGACCCCTTCCCTTCAAAAGAGCCCAGAGGCCGGCTGAGGGTGAGCCTGAGTGAGTTGGGGGGGGCTCCAGTGGGTGCAAAGGTCTGCTCCTCTCTGGTGGCCCGGACAGCAGAGCTGTCCCTCTGAGGCTGGGTGGCCTTGGTGGGGGGTCCCAGAAGCTGGGAAAAGAGCCTTACCCACCCTTGTCTCCTCCAAAAGGGACCCTGCCAGCACCGAGTCCCTTCTCCGAGGCCTCCTGGCTCCCCCGGGGGGCCTCTGCGAAGTCACATCCCAGGAGGCAGTGTTGGAGACGCTAATTTGTGGGCAGGCGCCGAGGCTGAAAACCAGAGAACCATTTTTAGAGTCTGAGTTGGGGTGAGATGACGCGTGAAGGGGACCCTCTCGGGGGCAGCTGTCCAGAGGACGGCTCGCGGGAGCTTCCCCTCCGAGCCCGGGGGCTCTGGCTGCGGTGCCCGGGGCAGGAGGGGCGTGCGAGCTCACTCCCCGCCGCCTGCTGCACTCCCACCCACGCCCTGGGGAAAGGGAAGGTAACCGCCGAGCCCTGCCCAGGCTCCCGCAGCTTTCCTCAGAGGGCAGAGCAGGTGGAAATACTGGGGCCATCGGTCCCAGGGGCGGAGTCTTGCAACCTCCTGGCTTTGAGGCTTCAGGACCTGGGGGCTCTGAGGGAGACAGAGCCAGGACGGTTTTCACAAGTGTCTGGAGTGTCTGCTGAACCAAGTGGGACCAGGGCGCTCAGTGCTGGCGCGTCCTGGATGGGCATGGAGGGCCCTGGTTTCAGTCCCTCACAGGGCTCCCCTCCCTGTCTCTCTGCCCTGAGTTGGGATGACCCCTCCACTCCCAGAGGCACAGGGTAGGGGCCAGGGGACGCAGTGGGGGGAGAAATAGTGTCCGTATTCCAGAAGGGCACCCCTCTCCCCCGATCCGGGGGCTGAAGGCAGGGGTACCCGCTGTGAGCCAAGCCGGGGCAGCCCCCCTGTGGCCCCTGCATATATATTGGGGTGTGTGACATTGATTCATTTGAGGACGGGGTTCTGTGGCTAAAAAGAGTTTGGAAATCGGGGTGGGGGCAGGAGAAAGGTACCTCTCCTGTGTTGAGGGGGTTGGGGGGGGTAACACCTCCTGGGCTGATTGGTCCAGTCTCCTCTCCAGCACCTGTCTCCCTGGCAACCTTTTCTCGGGAAGAGCCTGGGAAGGAAGGAACATGGCACCTTGGGGATCTGAGCATCCCATGCCCAGGCTGGTGGGAGATTGAAGATTTTCCCCACGCTCTTGTCACAGGTCCCCCGGGGCTGTGAGGGCTGCATTTGGGTTCAGAGGAGGTGGGGTGTCCTGAGCTGGTCCTGGGCCTCCCTGGGGATTGAGAAAGCTCTGTCCCTAGACACACACGGTGCTTCTGAGAGGGGGAGGGGGGACATTTGGGAATTTAGTGGTGGGCCCTGGAATGTGGAAGGGGGGCCTGGGGCTGTGGAGCTGTCCCCTCTGGACTGGGGTGAGGGGGTCTCTCCTAGAGCCGCTGGCCGGAGCGTGGCTCAGAGGAGGAGCCTTCTCTCTTTGCCTCTAGGAGAGCAGCCCCGAGGGTTGTCGCTGAGAAGAGCCTGGCCAGGGAGGACCCTGGGCCCCTTCCCCTTCTCAGCAACGTTGGGAAGCGGCCACTCTCGCCGTGCACCAAGCCGCCTGGCTCTTGCCGAGGGGGGCGTGAGTTTGCATCTGATGTGACCACAGTGCCCCTCTGTCTGGGCCACCAAACCCTGGCTCCTTCCCAGCCCTGCCACCTGTGGAGAGCCACCCAGCTCCTTGGAGCTCAGGTCCTTCCTTCATCCGTGGAGAGAAGTGGCTGCTTGGAGGGTTGAGCGAGGTCACGTGTCGGTATCAAGCCCGGTGCCTGGCAGGCAGGGTGGCCCCTGAATAGTGGCTGTTACCGTCTCGCCTCCTGTCTGTCAGGTGTTCGGTGGAGGGGAAGGAAGCTCCCGGGCCCTTCACGCAGGAGGGACGCTGAGCCCTGGGTGGGTGCAGACCTCCCGGAGGAGGAGAGGGGCGCTGCTCTTGGTCAAGGCTTGGCTGTTCTGGGGCTTGGTGGACGTCGGGGACGGGGGTGAGATGGGAGGGGGCCCTGAGGTTCCTGATGCTGGGCGAAGGTGAAAGGTAAGACTGAAGCGCCGGACGGACAGGAAGTGAGCCAGAGGGAACTTGGGGATCCTGAGAGGGAGCCGTGGATGAGACCACAGGGGCACCAAGGAACTAGGGGCCCCAGGAGACCCCTGTGGGTCCTTGACTCCCACACCCAATAAATAATACTTCACAGCTGCTCCCTCCCTGGGCTGAGCATCCCTCCTCTAGCCAGCCCCTTTCACGGGGTGCATATCTCGACCGCCCCATCTTGGTTCCAGGGAGGACCAGACGCCCCTTTATGTCCAGCTGCCACCCTCTCCTCCGACCTAAAGTCCAAAATGACTGCTTGGGTCCCTGCTTGACCAAGGTTGGGAAGATGGGCTTCAGACACCCACAGTCCTCCAGGTGGCTCTCGTGGGTTCAGGTCTCCTCCCAAGCTGTCCTCTCAGGGAGGCTCATGGAGACGTTCTGCCCGGGAAGGGCCTGTTCTCGGACCCCCCTGGGGGAGAGGGAGCCCCGGCTGTGGGGCGTGCCAATCCGAGGGTGACAGGCAGGCCCTCGCTCCATGCCATCCCGCGTCCGCACAGCGAAGGGACAGGACCACTCGGGCAAGGACCCGGGGCCGTCCTTGTGCAGAGGATCTCAGCTCCTTTCACCCCGAGCTGAGCAGTGTCAGGACGTGGATGGTGTGAGATGAGCTGTCTCAGGCGGCGGGTTAGAGAAGACCCGAGACGCGTCGGCTCGCGGTTACCCCTGACTGCTCGTGGCCTGCTGGGGCCCTCAGACCACCATGGTCACGTTTAGCTGGTGGGAGGGGTCGATGGTGTGTGTTAGATTCCACACGGTCTGACCGATGGGACGGAGACAGGTGCCGGGGGAGAGCCGATGGTCAGGAGCACGGGCCTGGGCCATGGCAGAGGGGGCCTGGTCATCCCTTACGAGCCCCATGAACCCGGCTCATTGACGGCCCTCTGTGACTCAGTTTCCTCCCTTGTAAAAGCAGCCAGGGTTGTTGTGTGGAGCCACAGGGGGATGCTTGTAAAGGGCTTGGCAGAGTGTCTGGCCCACGGGAAGAGCTCAGTGTTATTAGGGTGACCAAGGCCAAAAGGCGTTAGTCGTGGATGTCTTCCTGGAGGAGGCCCTGGGAGTGGCCCTGGGAGGAGAGGAGGAGCCTGTTCTGTGAAGGGCATGGAATGGGGGGGCTGTGAAAGGACAGAGGGACTGGGAAGGCAGGGCAGCTTTAGTCTTGTCCTGGCCGGTGGGGAGGTGGGGAGCAGAGGGCGGGAAACCCCAGCCTGCGCCCCGTGTTCCAGGTGGGCCTTGCAGGGCCTGCCCTATGAAGAAGCAGAGAACCTTGGGGGTCCATGTGCAGGCCTCGGTTTTCGCCTCCGAGGCTCCCCTTCCTTTCTGATGAACCCCAACAGCCTGAGCTGCAGCTGCCCCGAAACTTGGCACCTGGGAGTCTAACCTCGGTCCCTCCGTTGCTGTGCTCCCAGACTTCCCTGGACCGCGGTGTCCACACGTTTTGTTGAGAAACGAGGGCGTGGGAGAGGCAGGGAGAAGTCGCCTCTGAGCCTGGGCTGGCAGGACAGAGGGAGCCCCCAGGGAGAGCTGCTGGGTGGCAGGCGGTGGGGAGGGAGAAGAGGGGCAGCACCCAGAAAGGAGAAGGCGAGGGAGGGGAGCGATTCCAGGAAGCGGGTCCTGGGGGGCCTGCTGCGCCAGCCCCTGGGGGTTTTTGGGGGAGGGTGAGTGTGGGGGGAGCCAGCACCCCAGTTCAAAGGAAAGGCAGGAAACAGCCGTAGGCTAGAGAAAAAGGAAGTGTCTGGCCCTGGCAGCAGCGGGCACGGGTGCGGCCGGGCGGGGCGGCTGGCGGGGCAGAAGAAAGCCTGGCTCAGAGCAGAGCTGGCCCGGGTCCCCCCCTTCCCTCTCCATGGGCTCTCAACCCCGATGGCCCCACACAAGCCGAGTCCCTTCCAGCCCTGGCCCATGCCCGCCAGGCAGAGGCGGGAGACGGGGCCACCGGAGGTGCCTCCTGACTGGGCCCCAGGTTTATGAGCTGTTCGTCCTTGGGATGGTCCCTGAACCTCTCCTAAGCCTCCGTTTCTTCATTTTGAACATGGAAACTCAGTGTGCGCCTGGAAGGAACTGAGACAAAGATGGCAGAGCCTGGGCCTTTCCCAGCCTCCTGCCTCCACAGGCCGACGGTTAATATTTTCCTCAACACCTGAGCTGCGGAATGAGCTGCGGA